GGCCAACCCGTTTATATTCGCAGCATTCGGCGGCAGCCTCGAGTAGGCCTCTCTCAAACAACTGCCACTTGGTTTCAAGATCAGTTGTCATCGCTGGGATTTGTTCAAACCGTCGTACAATGTTTGCAAATATCCCTCTCTTGTCCACTGAAGATAATGTTTGCCATTTAATTCTCTGGTTGCTTCTCCTACGAGATCTTCGTATGGTACTCCATTTCTTACGGCATATCACCCGAAGTGCAAAACGGTAATCGGGTGATATATCTGCACCTCTCTTAACGAGAACATCCATTTCAGAGCGTTTTAAGTCAAAGGATGCGATTATCAAATCCCGATCATCGACTTCGTGCACAAGCTTCCCCGTACCAGGGTACTGATGCACTTTTCGATGCTCGAAGAAGGTGTTCATAATAGACAATCCGTTGTTTGCACAAAGCCGCTTTCATGCCGTTGTTGTAATCGGTTCGCTGTTTCAAGGCTGTACATCAGGATTGAGAAAACTGTGGCTTTCAGTGTGACGATCTTTGTTGCTGCTCATATGGACTGATTTTGAGACACACTGGAAAGTCGGCCGAAGCTCACAGCCTTAAGAGCCGTTTCACTTCCAAGTCGAAGTTTTTAATGCATAGCCGAGGTACTTAAACTTTTCGACTTCGTAGATGGTCATTCGACCCCATTTGGGCCTTTAATCGAGTCGGGTGCTCGCAAGATATCCACTTTAGTGGGATTAACTTCTAATCCTACTGTCGAGGTTACCTTGCACACTTCTCAAGTTAGTAGAGGTAAGTACTGGGCAGAGTCGGTCAGCAGTACAATGTGGACAGCGTACTCGAGATCTTCTGTGTACTACTGGGTACGTTCGGCTGAGTGGTCGTATGAGAGTAAGCCTTCACTGTTGTAGGCGATGACGCTCCTCCGTATCGTATGATCTACCCCCGTGCTGAATAATAGAGTTGAATGCACCTCCTTGGCGCACTCCATTGTTGTTGTTAAACCAGTAGTTGTTGAAAAACGACTCTTCTGCTCTGATGGTGCTTTTAGTACCTTTGCGCAGTTCTCTCAGCAGACCGACGATTTTCAGTATACGCCACAAGGACTGACAGTCACCGAGCCGATAGCTGCTCAGAGGTAGAATTAGGCTACATGCAAGGGCAGTTAGAAGTTCCTTCCCTGCTCGATTATCTTCTTTAGTAGGCGATGTTATCCGCACATGGGAGTCCAGTTCGAAAACCTTTTTGATTTGATCGAATCTTCGGCTGTGTTCTTCAGTCATCAGAGCAGGATTCGCGTGAATACATGTTTCATCACTGGTAGAAACTTGATCCCGCTGTAACCGATGCAGTTAGAACGATGCCCAAGTTTAAATATGGGAATGATGACGTCCTGTTTTCAGTTGTCAGGAATTTTCAACTTCTGCATGATGCTGCCAAAATTCAGATGGATCCAGTTCAGCAGAATTTCGCCTGGATATTTCAGAATTTCCTCACTAACTCTGTCGTACACCGCACTAATTGGAGTTTCTGCGAATCTAACAAGTCATGGGTTTATGTTTACCGCCATTAGTGATTATGCTGACTTGTCTGTACCGCCTCTTCCAGTCCTTCTTCAAGACCTCCTGTTCCAGGTTGCGCGCTTTGAGCTGTCATCCAGTGTCGCTTGTCAAAGCGGTGAGTGCTGTTGACTGCTTTCACGAGATGACGATACTCTCGTTCTTCGCCCCTTTAGGAACTACTGCTTTGCCACGTTTCTTCTTTGGCTAACAGTGAGGATTTTTGTCAACATTCACGGTGCTCCGTCTTTAACTTAATCTTGGAGGATAGTTTCTGCGGCACCTACGGTATCCTATTTGAGCTGTTAGTACATCAACCTGGAGTCCTGGCAGGTGATGTCCTTTACAGTGGCGAATCTGCTGATGATCATGTCTTAAAACGCCGCGTAAGTTCCGGATCTTTTAATTCGCTGGTGTCGTTCATCCCACTCCGCGCTGTTCTCAGTGACGTAGCAAATTGGAGATGGAGCTTTGCGACCAGCAGAAAGTGGTCAGATCCAATTTCAGCTCAGTGTCGTCCCCGCAGGTCATAAAGGGCGCTTCGCCATTTCCTGCTGACCAATTTGTGGTCCAGCTGGTTCCTGAAGTGGGCACTTGGCACTGTCCACATCAGCTGATGGATTTGACTGTGGGGAAACAGCTTACCGTCGACAACGAGGCCGGCCCTAAAACAAAGGTGTAATAGCCATCAACCATTGTCATTCAGCGGCCCGGACCCATATTGGCCCATCACATGATGCCAGATGGAATTGTACCCGCCGACCAGTGGAAGACAACCGAGAACTTCGTGTAAAGACACGTGGAACTCACCCTTCCCTTGATCGTCCGCGACATTGGTGGGGGGATACACGCCAACAA